CCCCCCGCTGTCCACACCGACCTGGGGCTGCTGGGCTCATCCCCGGGGGGCTCAGTGGCCTTGTCCTCAGGCCCCGGGAAGGGCCAGTGCTGCTCGGGCGTGGCTGGCCCGGGCTCCTGTGCGCTGGGGCTGGGGGACTCTGCAAGGAGGGGACAGCAGTCAGTGGGGACAGACACCCTCATCCACGGCTGGGTGTCACCCAGGAACAGGGCTGCAGCTGGAGGGGATTGGGGATCCTATGGACCGGGCACAATGTGAGGATGCTGCAGGGATGGGTGGGAGTGGCTGTACAAGGAGGGGACCGTGGCATGCACCAGGGGACCAGGAGTGAGTGGACATGGGGAGGGAGCAAGGTGATCCCTTGGGGAGCAGCTGGAAGGCAGAAGGGGCTGTGGAGGAGGCGGGAGAAGGGAAAGCTGGGATGCAAGATGCCACGGGGCCAAGTGGGGATGCAGCAGGGACACATGGCGCCAGCAGCAGAACTGGCTTGGATGCAGTGGGGTACAGTGGGGCAAAGGGGATGCACAGGGGGATGCAGCAGCCCTGGCAAGGATGGTACAGTGGGATGGTGCAGATAGGGCAGCATCGCACTGGGATGTGCAGCAGGGACAGCCAGCATGTACGGAGCACGGGGAATGCACTGGAGATGGGGGGGATGCATGACGGAGGCTGCAGCAGAGACAGCAGGGATGCACTGGTCTCAGGAAATGCACTGGAGGCAGCAGGGATGCAGCAATGACAGTAGGGCTGCACTGGGGGATGCAGCAGAGACGGTGGGGATGCAGCGGCACAGAACAGCAGGTACGGCGGGGATGTGCTGGGGGACACAGCAGAGACGGTGGGAATAGGCCAAGGGGTACAGGCAGGACAGCACGGATGCACCGAGCAATGCAAAGGCGGTTGGCAGAGCTGCAGGGGGGGCTGCAGCAGAGCCAGGGGGGCTGCAGCAGGGAATGTGCTGTGGGACACAGCAGAGATGGCAGGGATATGCTGAGGGATGCAGACGGGACAGCACAGATGCACTGAGCAATGCACGGGCAGTTGGCAGGGCTGCAGGGGGGGCTGCAGCAGAGCCAGAAGGTTGCAGTGGGGGATGCACCGTGGGAAACCACAGGGG